GAGCAGAGGCGGAAGGGGTTCCTGATCGGCAGCCCCAGCTTTCCCTCCGACACAGGGCAGGAGGGCGCCACTGAGCTTAGATGGGAAGCAATCAGCTGGGGATAGGAGACTGGTACCCATTGGGCACCAAGAGAGTGAGTTTCCCACCACTGGTCATGCCCCTGAGGGCAAAGCCCTAGGCTAGGGTGGCCCCACGTGTCCAGCCACCAACAGGGCACACATGGCCGGGGGATGAATTACCAGGAAGTGCCCCTTTGGAAATGGTGTCCGGATCCAGTTTGTACGTGTCCTGAAGCCTCATGAGAGCCTTGGCAGCTCCCGTTTCATCCTCGTCTGTGGGGAAGAACTGCCGCTGCACGGAGAGGTTGCCAATAAAGCCTTCAAACGAGAGGCGGAGAATGAGCGCTTACCCACCGTCCACGGTGGGATGCCCCTGCAGGCCGGCGGGAGGATGAGAGCAGCCCGCTGCCACAGAGTGGATCCTGACCCACAGGGTCCTACACGGCATTTCCGAGGCTGGAAACCTTTGCCGGAGCAGCCAGTCTCCATGTTCTCCCACGGCGCAGCTCGTGGGTTTTGAACCACTGACCTTGAGATTAGCAGCATAGTGTCACCCACTCACGGGATCCTGGCTAGCTGACTCTCCCACCTCATCCCTCAAAGCCTGTGCCCTTCCTACCAGTAAGCCCTCCTGGTGTCTCCAGCTCACCTGGCCCCCATCTACCTGCTGCCTGGGCTGCTTAAGAGGAAGGGGCCCAACACTGGTTCATTCGAGGCTGGGAGCTGTCCCTGGAGGGCACTCCGTCCGACTCAGCAGTGATAGAATGGACAAAGGAAAACAGACAGAGCCACAGGAGCGGACTTGGAGAGGACTTAGCAACCACCCAACAGAAAGTGAGCCACAGACATAATGTTCACTCTTGCTCCCTGGCTGTACGGATAGCCAGTATCCCAGCACCTGGCTCAGAGTGAGGAGTCCCAAGACAGAGGAGGTCAATTCAGGGAGCTCAGCTGTCCACTTCCTACTGACCACGGGCCCTTGACTTCCAGAAAGGGAAGGGCAGTCCTGCAGGTGTTTGGAGCTGCCTTGCCTCACCCCCGATTACCAACTCAGGGTGAGAGGCCCAGAGAAACCCCCCTGGGCCTGGCTCTGCTCTCTCTGAACCCCCACCCCTCAGATCTGCAAGGAGAGTGAGCTCCCTGAGCTTGGTGCTCAAGTCCACAGCCTGGAGCCTGCTTGAGGCCCTGACCACAGAACGACCTCCGAGGCGCCTGTGCGGGGTCTGCAGGCCCTAGCAGTCAAGCAAGGCAGGTGCCTGCTACATCCCCAGTACAGGGAGCCAGGTCCTGCCCCACTGAGAACTCCTGGCTGTTCCCGGCTGGCTTCTTCCCAAAGGCAGCAGCACCCACTGCCACTGGCTCTCAGCACCTCATGCTCAAACGCCCACCCCTAGCCATGCCTGGGACCCAGGAACCATGACCAAGAGGCAAGCCAAGCCTCCCGCACAGCTGCGAGGTCAGAGACTCTGAGAATTTGGAATTCGGTACAAAAAACAAACATGTCCCCAGAAACAGCCACATTTCAGGGGCAAGCACTCTGACAGCCAGAAAAATATCCTCTTGCTCTCTGGCCCCTCTCCTGCCCCCCTCCAGGTAGCTACAAAGAACCAGATGTTGGCCATCGGGGTGGGAGTGTGGAGCAGAAAGCTAGAGGGCAGGAGGTCCCCAGAGAAGGGCTTAGGCTCCCAATGCGCATGCCTCTTAGCATGCCGAATGGCCTGTTCTGAGCCACGCAAGGGCCCAGGCTGGGACGCAGGGGTCTGGGAAAGGCAGCTGTGGCTTCTGGAGTCTGTGAGCTCCAAGGGCACAGTTCCAGGCCCGCTGAGTTCACCAATCCCTCCCTGGAGGCCACCCTGCCCCCAGCCGGGCCACAGAGACAGCCCTGTGTAGTGAACCACCGCTCAGGGAGATGAGGCCGGGGACCAGGAGGTTGGGCCTGGGCCCAGGGTCAGGAGGGGAGAGGAAAGCTCGAAGTCCATAAAAAAGTCCTGCCTCCGTAAGCGTGCCAGGCACAGTTCAAGAGATTTTCAGTGCCCCGCCCCCCCCGCCTGTAAAAACCACACTTCTTGGGGTTCACCCTCAGCACACAAAGGTACCAGCACAAGACTGCTGATCATTAGAACAGCAGTTCTTAACCTGTGGGTCACGACTCCTTTGGGGGTCGAATGACGGTTTTACAGGGGTCACCCGATTCGTAACAGTAGCAAAATTACAGTTAGGAAGTAGCAACGAAAATAATTTTATGGCTGGGAGGTCCCCACAGCATGAGGCACTGTATTAAAGGGTCGTGGCATTAGGAAGGTTGCGAACCAGGACTGATTTAGAAGCAAGCCCACAGCCCAGGACCTGATTTTTCTTTTTCAGTC